ATATTCTATACAAACTTATGATGGTCAATGTTTACGAAGATACGTAATCCTATATAAAATCGTTTATAGATATCTAAAAATTATTTATTTTGTTTAAAGAATGGTAATTCTACAAAACTCTTGTTAGGAAAGAAAACTATTACGTTCCATCAACCAAACGAAAGCTAAAAAACTAGTAATTGAAAACCTAACAATAAAATTAGAAAAAGTTTGGTCCACCTCATTCATTTGAAATATTTGAATTGGCCCCACATTTAAGAAGCCCCGCTTATTAAAAAAAAAATTAGATTATATGTTTAGTTTATATAAAAATATATTATTTGATGAAAAATATGAAAATTTATTGAAAAAACATACATATTTTTTGTGAGATCAAATATTTTGTGTGATTATCTGATTAAAAAAAATGTTAAGTAGTTTTTTTCATAATTTTATTTAACATAAAAGGACATGAATGCATTGTTGTTAAAAGTCCAAAATTTTTTTTAAAAATATCTAAATTAATTTCAATAATTTTTTTTTTTGTATGGGACCTCAGAATTCTCATATCCGACTCTGTCCACCGGTAACTTTTGTTCTACATCAAAAGTGTAAATATATTAGATTATGGGTCAGGCATGAGTGCATGACTTATCGAGTGGAAAAACATATATAGTACCATTTTGTTTATGGGATTCTGTATTTGATGTTATGGAAGCGATGTGCCTTAACATGGTCTAGTATTTATGTTTAATCTTAGGTTAATACGGGAAAATTGGTTTGCTGCTCAACGATATTTCATAAATTACCTAGAAAATAGAGTTCATGCACTGATGCACATATCACTCATATGTACAAGTAAACATATAACATAGTTTTGAAAGGCACACATACAAGATCCAAAATTCGGAGTCAAATAGTACAAGTAAAAATATAAAATGAGCATCGTTATATCAGCCAGTATCAATAGAAATATATTATGCACAGTACAATCCACTAGTCTAAATTTAAAAAATTGTTGTTCTCCTAGTTAACATTCAGCTTATTGTTGTCAATCTCCTAATTTATTCTTTAATTTATTTGACGTACCCTTTTTTAATTTGGAAAAAAAAATTCAAAAAATGCCACTTTTTAAATGTCATTTTACAAAAATGTCACACTTTTGAAATCTTTACAAAAATGCCACTTTTTCAAA